TATATATACACACATACACACACACACACACACAAAATAAACAAACCTTTAAGTTGATGTAAAAGGGTAAAAGGTTTTTGATGTTTTTATTGTTAGATGTTTAAATCTGCTTTTTTAAAATCCAAATCTGGCTATTATTTGTAGAATTGTAGAACACTATTGGCAAAATTGGCAGTAAAATACCCTATTTATAAATGTTTAAACTGAATAGGAAAACTTAAATGTTTACTCTGGTGATTTGACATTTATCAAAGTACTATAATTACATAGCCCCTGTTATTTATGGGGAAAAGATATACTTACATTTTAGCCAGATCATTCACATTTTGTGTGGTCTCTCTTCCAGACAGACAGTCGTAAACCCAAATCTTAAACGGGTCTCCCTTGACTTTGTTCAAGTAAACACCTAGATTATCTATATAGATAAACAATGTTAGATCAGAATATATGACAACACTGATACATTTTGCTAAATATAAACAGGGGAAAAAATCTTATTAGGTTTTTAACACTCAGGCAACCGAAACTTAAATGCAAATCTCCTATTTATGTTGTTTATCTTGTATATTTACTAGGGCTGCCCTCGACTAAAGATTTTTGGTTGACTAGTAGTCGTTCATTTTAAGCATTAGTCGACTAATTGCACGTTTATTAATAAACCATTTAAATCATTATAAATGAGCCTTTAATTGCCTACATAGCCTAATAAGCGCTCAAGCACAGGCATAAAGCTAGCCACAGCGCACCGCAGAAGTAATGATTATGAATGTGTCAGGGAAAAACAGTAAAGAGACTGCATTAACATTTTAATAATTTGATTAACTAGTGCCGTCTTTGTTTTCGGCTTCTGACTCGTCATCTCCGCAGTGATGCGCCTGTATGCAGGTTTCATATGGATTACATAATCGGAGAATATTTGTTTTCCATTTGAATTGGTTCATTTGAAAGTAGACATTTCACTCTCTATATATAATTTTAATGTCTGTAAGGCAAAGATATACACAGAGTTTTGCGCACAAATAAACAAAAGATATATTACTCTTATCTTTATGACCAAAAATGAGGGAGTATTTTAAGAGTGACCACACCGGCGCCTCCACCTGTCTTGCAGTGAGCGCACTACTGTTCAGCTTTCACACTCCACACAGACACTTGATCAGCACACATTTCTCTAGGTCAGTGGTTCTCAAACCGGTCCTGGAATACCCCCACTCCTGCACATTTTGTATGTTTCCCTCATCTATCACACCTGATTCAACTCGTCAGCTCATTAGTGGAGACTGCATGACCTGAAGTGGGTGTGTCAGATACAGGGAGACATACAAAATGTGCAGTGCTGGGGGTACTTCATGGAGAGGTTTGAAAACCACTGCTCTAGGTTAACATTAGATTGAGATCGGCCATGTAAAGTTGCTATAAAGTTGATTTCAGATGATAAGCCATATTTGATGAATGATAGGTGAGCGTTTGGATGTCCTGCATTACCACATAGACTAGTCGTTAACGATCTGTTCGTCACGGACTGCGTGACTTTGCCTGTGGATTTTTTTTTTTTTTTTTTTAATTTCTGTGACTAAGCGACCAGCACATTTTTGGTCGCCCGAGCCTCTTCTGGTCGAATAACAGTTAGTCGACTATTAGGGGGCAGCCCTAATATTTACAGTATAATCAATTGATTAAACAGTCTAGCTATTAGCATTCAAACGGTATAGAAATTGGACCTTCACTGAGATACACCAGCAGAGGACCCTCAGTTCCCATATTTGCCAGTTGCAGTGGTGGTGTGACAATCAAGTGACTGTACCGTTTGACATCCTCAAACATGTCTGAAAATGTTTTCTTCTGTTCAATCTGAAAGCTTTAAAAAGGCATTTTGCATAAAAATGTAATATTGTTTTACATATCCAATGATATTATTATTAAAATATTATATTTATCAAATTATAGTTTTAAGACTCCTAAACATGACATACTTGCAACCTTGTGGGGTGCTGTTATAAAAGATCCACAATGGAAACCTATCAAATGATGCCGGAAGACTAAGCGAAATTTTCTCGATATCTGTAGCTCTTTGAATCGATGACTCCAGTAGATTCACCTCATCACAGTTTGGAATTTTTACACCATCTAAAATAAAACCTCATTATGGATGTGGTGATAAATTAAGATGATGGTATAACAAACATCTCAGTTGCAGCTTTTACCTGTGATTTTTTCCAGTATGTATGACCTGTCAAATACTTCTGGTGTTCCTGGTACTCTGACTGGCTCAGACAGCCGCTGGCCTGTAGGATAAGCTTTCAAGGAAATTGTAGCATAGGTCTCCAGATCAGTACTTTCATTCTGAATTGAGAAAAAAAATGTTTTTCAATCAGCAAATTTTTAGTGACTCCTACCATCACTGCAAATCTAGTTTTAATCATCTATTTTGTACAATATTAATAAATATGAATTGTATTTACTTTTCTTTTAAAAAATGTTAAGTCTGGTAAAGAACTTATCTTTTTGCTTTATTTAATATTCATAACAAATGTTATCCAAAATTGTGAAATGTATTAAGTACATGTGGTCATTTAAGATGCACATTACAGTCTGGTTATTGGGAAACAGGCTGCAGTACTTGTACTCCATGCTACTAGAATGAAAAATTGTTCCTGAATAGCTTCTAAACTGATTTATGAAGTGCTGTATCAAGAAAAAAAAAACTGCAAACATACCTGTCCTTGAGCAATCAAGTAAGCCCAGCAAATATTTGCATATTCAAAAACATCACCATCTTCAATGACCTTTGGACCTGATCTTTCATTAAGACCTGGTAACAACTCTCGGAAAAGAAAGTAAAGACCCTCAACAACAGCAATCTGAAATGAAAATATAAAGGATTTATTTTAAGTTGTATGATTGGACTTAAATATTTAATAGATAATATCGCAATGATAATTCACTTTATATCAGTATGTAAAACTCCATTCTGTGAATAATTTGCACACTTTATATTATACAATAACCTACCTTTTGGTTTCTTGTTACATGCAAGTTCCCACAGATCATTTGGAATAAACTTTGAGCCAAAGCATTGCATCCACTCAGTCTCCTAATGTATGCAACCACTTTCTTAAATTCGTCTCCACAGTGTTTACGTTTCTAAAGAATAGGACAAAATACAGAAAATCTTACCAATAGTTGCACTGAAAAATAAAGCAGTACGTTTTATCTGACGTTTGCAGCTGCTGATCTCAAACCTGCTGTCAAGAAACAGTTACTGGTAATTACATGAGTTGTGGATCAGTTGGCTCCACTATTCTCATGGTTTGAGTACTGATGTGTCCATTGACACAGATGAGCATCTTATCGGGGGAATGTCTCGAACAACATCAAAAATCACCCAATAACTAAAATAAATAAAACAGCCTTTCGAATGAGCAAAAACTATTTTTCAAGTTTGAGCTAAACTGCAGCACAATATACATCTAAAAATGCAGAAAGTCTTCTTTAATGGGTAGGGTAAGGGGATAGAAAATACAGTTTGTACAGTATAAAAACCATTACACCTATGGAGAGTCCTTGAACCACATATACCAACATGGGGTGAGTGTGTGGTGTGATCAATTAGATCTGAACTGATTTTTTTTCTGTTGGACTGTACTTTTGAACTATCTTGTGATTTTAGCACTTTTTGTATAGACCTTTGTGGAATAAGCTGCATTTGTGATTGGTCTGCAACTTGGATTCACCCATTCTAGGTGACCCAGGTTCTAGATCAGCAAGCATCAAACCTTGACAAAATAGAAATTATAGTTTTTTTTAAACATACAATGGCATAGAGCGTTGACAGAAAAACACTTAGGCCTTTCTCTGTTTGCTTCACTGAGGGTCTGACATCTTTTTGGAACAAAAGACTTGGACTTGGTTTCTCATTATCAAACGATGACAGAGAGAACTGTAGAACTGAATCATCTGTGATTCCAAGCTCACTTAGTTTGTCAACATGATTATACTCTTCACCTCTGTGGGGAAAAAAAAAAAAACCAATACAAGACTAATTTAATCTTGGAAAACACAATACTGAAAGATTTTTGATATTTTAAACAATATAGTAAATCAGCATGAAACACAAATATATAATTATGTAATCTCAATGATATGATCATCAGTGACCTGATGTGAAGAACTGGTGCTGGTATACTACTTTCGAGAGAAAGCCGTAGTGTCACATCTCTCAGTGTATCACTTTCGAGGTTGACTTTGATTTCAAAGTCTCCCTATTGAACAAATACAAGAAAAACAAGATGACTGATGCAAGATGACTGATATGTGACCCTGGACCACAAAACCAGCCATAAGGGCCCATTTTTTGACATTGAGATTTATACATCATCTGAAAGCTGAATAAATAAGCTTTCCATTGAATTATGGTTTGTTAGGATAGGACAGGGGTAGGCAAGTTCGGTCCTAGAGAGTCGCAGTTCTGCAGAGTTCAGCTCCAACCCTGAAAACAAAACTCACCTGCTTATAGCCTTAGTAATCCTGAAGACATTGATTAGCTTGTTCAGGTGTGTTTGATTAGGGTTGGAGCTGAACTCTGCAGGACTGCGGCTCTCTAGGACCGAACTTGCCTACCCCTGGGATAGGACAATATTTGGCCGATGTACAACTATTTGAAAATCTGGAATCTGAGGGTGCAAAAAAAATCTAAATATTGAGAAAAACGCCTTTAAAGTCGTCCAAATTAAGTTCTTAGCAACGCATATTACTAATCAAAAAAAAAAGTTTTGATATATTTATGGCAGGAAATTTACAAAATATCTTCATGGAACATGATCTTTACTTAATATCCTAATGATTTCTGGCATAAAAGAAAAATCGATCATTTTGACCCATACAATGTATTGTTGGCTATTGCTCCAAATACAGTATCCCTGTGTGACTTATGATTGGTTTTGTGGTCCAGGGTCACATATATAGAGAAGATTTCGGATGGTTGTAACACAGGATGAGTAAGTTTAACTCATTTGAAAATGAGTCACAAGGATGAAATGACTTTCATGGATGAGCACCATCCTCATAAGGTGATTGGAGAAGTGGTAAATATATTTGAACAAATATAAAGGATTTTACTTTTGGGTTAGAATTTGATTCGGTATCATGCTAAATGCAATGTAATAGGTAGATTCTTCTGTTTACATTTTATGTATTACACTGTTTATGGAAAAAGCAAAAACAAAAAGTGTAACAACCATCCTTGTTCTTTTCTACACTTGACACTGACAACATTACATTCTGATTGTGAAATGTATGGGTTTGTTTAGGTGAATCAATAGATTTTCTATTTTTGATTAAGGTGATCATGCATCAGTAGAAGTACCTGTAACGCTATGTGACAGCGGATGACACTTGGTCCTTCATTTCCGATGTTGGCCTGTCTTTGTGCCGGTGGTAACTCTGTTAAATTTTCCCTTGGTGTAAATATGGCATACAGTTCACTCCCACTTGTAATATGTCTGTCATTCAAAGACCCTTTAATAATAAAGATATAAACCATGCAGAGAAATTAAATTAGTGAACAACATGCTTTTCATCTAGATGAATTGGCCTTTAAAAAATGTCATGTGGTGCGACCATGATTTATTTTAAAATTAATTCATTTCCTTAACATGCTTAACATTTTTTAGATGTTCTCAGTTATTAAAGTGTTTAGAAAGAAAGTATTTGCATTTCTTGAGCTTTTGTAAATAATGATCTCATGTTTTTGTTCTATAATTTCAGAGTTGCCTTCTTAAATGTAGTTACTTATTTTTCCTGTAAATTGCATAACTGATAAAATAAAAAAATAAATAAAAAAAACATTAACTTAAGCATACTGTAGCAGTGATTCATGTTTCAACCACAGAAATTAGATATTGTATTTTAAATTGAATACAGTTATGGCTATTTTTGGTCCCACCACATGATGAGTGGTCGCTCCAAATGACCTTATATCATTAAAAATCTATTTAAAGAGACATGTGAAAAGTGCAGCACATGGCATTTATTGCAGGCATTTCTTTAGTCCCAGTTATTTCTGAACTTTGTCCAATTTTGGCTGCTCAATTGAGCCTTTGCAGGGAGTTTGATTAACAGGCAATCTGACCAATTATAATGCAGAATCCGTCATTTTTGTCCGACAAACAAACCAGACAGGAGAGTAGATTAACATCGGTGGACAAACTTGAAAAATTGTGTATTGATGTCTTTTCACCGTTGAAACAAGATACCTTCTGATGGTTCATTCATGTTTATTTCATGCTAACTAGTAAAGAGGAAGAGATGATCTGTTCATGTACCGCTTGAACTGAGGCGCTACAGCGATCTGTCACAGCTAGGCTGTGAATCTTTGGGTAGACAGCGAATCGATTCGATTCACAGGTTTTCAATTCGATTCAAGAACTATTTTTGCAAATTCAGAACGAATCAACTCGTTTCGATTCACAATTAAATTTGATTCGATTAACGATTCGATTCTGCATTCCTTTAAGTGCATTCACAGGATTATTTAAGAGGGCAAATTACACAGTGGCCTTTATGGTTAGAGAACCATAGGTTACAAAAAAAACTAAAAATCCTTCTGTCCATTGTTAGATGCTAGTTTAATGATGCCATGGCATATGTAGAAATTTATGTAAGGCAATATTTTAAAAGTATTATGTTTAGGCTAACATTTTGTCACACCAGGGGCGTAGCCATCATTTCAGAAGTGACAAATGTCAAATACAATAATTTGTCACTTACATTTGTAATCTCTTACTTTGAATTTGCTTTAAGAAATAAAATATACAGCTGGACAATAATCAATCATTTGTAATCTATATTTTTTTCCTAATGGCAATTTTATGATTGTTTGATATACTACAAACAATCAATTTTCTGCACAGAATAAGGTAGAAAATATACTTTATAGTTTCTGTACTGTAATAAATCATGTCAATTAGCACTGCATCATTCATAAATAGTATTTATTTATTGTGTTTATTGTCTTAACGTTTCATCAGTTAATTCTGCTTTTTATTCAGATTAGCTGCAGATATAGCCTGGCACATCTATGAGCACGAGATCACTTCTCTTTCAGTGCGAAATCTTCTTGATCTCATTTTCATAAAATAAAATGCTATAGTATTTAACTTTTCCTCTCCATCGGCGAATGATGATTCTGAAAAGCCAGAAGTCTGTTTGCTATAGCAACGAACGCTACTTTCATGCATCTGATTATCAGAAAAACTTTGCGCTCTTATTTCAAGGTTGTTGTTAATGCTATGGTTATTTTAACAGTTTCCTTCGTACATTTGGTTCAATGACATTCTTAAAACACATTTATCATTCAATGGAACTGTGCATATGCTTTAGACCAGGGCTGTCCAAACTCGGTCCTGGAGGGCCGGTGTCCTGCAGAGTTTAGCTCCAACCCTAATTAAACACATTTGAACCAGCTAATCAAGCTCTTACTAGGCATAGAAACTTCCAGTCAGGTGTGTTGAGGCAAGTTGG